GATATCGTAAAATTTGTCATTTTTTAGCAGGGTAGCAGATCTTTGCAGATCTGCACCATATTTATTTTCCCGATGATCTTGTAGCCATTGTATATCCACTATAAATAATTCTATAAAATTTGCAAATTTAGCACCAAAAGGTACAAATACTATAGGAAAATGATTGTTCAACATTTTTCGCAGACAAAATGGCATATTTCCAAATTGAATGTAAATACTGCTGAGCAAATGATAAATGTTTCAAAAAATCTCAAAATCGTCATAATATAAATTGATAAAAATTCACAAATATTAAAGACTAGATGGTATTAGAAGTAACTTTATATACTTGCTTGGATGCCGATGCCGATATTGTACAGGGTAAACTTTTCATGATTGATTATGCTGGTAAACAATTTCATCTACAAAATATTCTGGTTCTTTGGGCTCAGGCTAATCCATAAGTCACACCTTCACTTGACCCCAAATCTATATAGTTGGCATTATCACATATTGTTCATTAGCTAACTATAAAACTCCACGCTATGATTTTAAAAGTCTTTCAGATGAGCGCAGTTGTGCTGATAATATGGAATATTTCCAGAGTTGTTGTATTTTTACTTACAGGTTCTTTTTTACCTGAACAAATGCTTGCAAGAAACCAACCTGCAACTGATTCCTCTGGTTTACATAAAAAATAAAGCTGCCAGTTTGATAGATGGCTATAATTTGACCTAAAAAAAAAAATAAAAAAAATAAATAGATAAATAAATGATTATTTATTATCATACAAAATTTAATCAATAAGGCCTCTTGAAGTTAAACTTGCTGTTAATATCATTCTTTAGGACCCAGACCCAGAGAGATGAAAAGAGATAATTGAAGTGAACAAGTAAAAAATAATTTTAATATAAAAATTTATTATAACTAGTCAGTCCGAATTAGAATAAATTGGCTACTGAGTTAAACTTTTGATTCACATTCACCTAGCTGAAAACTGTAGGAATTCCATTAATCATAAGCAGTTCTTCTTTAAAGTCTTAAGCTATATACCATTAATAAGAAATACATGTATCTGAATTTTGACTATTTTATAAACTTTTCTGACTAGGTATTTTGAGGTTTTTAATCAGTACAGTATGGTGATTATCAGGTTATAAAAAAATCATTGGTATAATATTAATTAGGCAATACAAATAAAATAAACTGGTTTTCATATTCGGCTGGGTCCAAAAATTGCTGAGTGCAAATTTTTTTTTTATACCGCAGTAGGTAAATAACTAGAGTAGGGAATAGGCCAGACCAAACCCAAAAATTTATAGGCCGAGCTGGGCTTGAACCTAACTTGAGCCCAAAAATTTAGGCCCATTAATATTTGGGCTAGGCTGGGTTAAGCCTATTAAAATATTGGGCTGGGTCTTGGCTTTGTAAACAGGCCCAACTAGACCCGACAAGTCTATTATATATGAATCTATCTATAATTATCCATATAATTAACCAATAGTATCCAATTTTCTGTCTAGCATAAAATTTGGTATAATAGTTTTTAAGCTATTTCTTTTGCTATAAAAATATTGTAAGCATTTAATAAGATCAAGAACTTGCACATAAATCTATCAACTCTCTAGTTCAAATTTAATTCTATTCATTTCAAAGTTCATTGCTTATCATTATATTTAATGCTTTAAACAGGTTGACCTTATGCTAAACAGCTTGTTATAATATATTTTGTTATATAAGTAATGAACCAGAATATTTTGTAGTTAAAATTACTGAATCCTATTACTCACCAGAAAAGTTTTATGATGTCAGACTCATTTTACCTTGCTATGTTAATGCTACATATTCTGAGTTACTTTCTAAGAATTCAACATATCAAAGAGGACATGCTTATTAATTTTATGAATACAATAGGGTGTCAATGTCGAGAACAGGTAATCAGTATGATCATAAAGTGTTGGATATCACTTTCTTTTTCTGTAAAACAATCATTTGCTATCACATTTTCTGATGATCATTTTGAAACTTTATCTAAGACATTACAAAAAGAGCATTATCATTTAACAAAAATATTTATTTATTTATTTATACATTTATTTGAAATTGATAATATGTGAGAAAGGGCTAAAGTGATACATAATAAATATTGGTCATTTACTGTATTGTTGCTTATTGTTTAAAGTATCTTTCTCGATGCTTAAAAACTATTAATAGAAATATTTAATATTTGATCAATAAAATTATAATTTAATGTGAATCAAGAACAATACATATTAAATATTTGGCATTTACTATACGTTATTTTAGTCCTGGTGTGGGATCGATTTTAAGTCATGTAAAAGCTTGAAACTTAGTATTATTAATGTAAATATAGTATGGTATTAGTATAGAAAGTAATATTTAATAAGAATTGTTTATGCCTTTGTCATTTTTACTCTTCCTTATTTTTAGTTAGACTAGAATCTATATTAGATATTAGTATCTAGTAAAGAAAATTAATTAGGATAGAAGATATAACAA